GTAGTCGTAGTAATCGAGGTAGGAACCGTGGTAGTGAAGTAGTAGTAGTAGTAGTAGTAGTAGTAGTCAGTAGCAGGGAGTAGTATAGTTAGTAGTAGTAGTAGTCATAGTAGTAGTAGTAGTGTAGTCGTAAATAGTAGTAGTAGTAGTAGTAGTAGTAGTAGTAGTAGTAGTAGTAGTAGTAGTAGTAGTAGTAGTAGTAGTAGTAGTAGTAGTAGTAGTGGTAGTAGTAGTAGTAGTAGTAGTAGTAGTAGTAGTAGTAGTAGTCGTCGCCGTAGTAGCAGCAGTAGTAGTCGTAGTAGTAGTGGTGGTTGCGGCAGTAGTCGCAGGCGTAGTGGTAATCCTAGTCGTAGTCGTAGTAGTGGTAGCTGTAGTAGTAGTGCTAGCAGTAGTCGCTGTAGTAGTAGTAGTAGTAGTAGTAGTAGTAGTAGTAGTAGTGGTAGTAGTAGTAGTAGTAGTAGTAGTAGTAGTAGTGTAGTAGTCGTAGTAGTAGTAGTAGTAGTAGTAGTAGTAGTAGTAGTAGTAGTAGTAGTAGGTAGTAGTAGTAGTAGTAGTAGTAGTAGTAGTAGTAGTAGTAGTAGTATAGTAGTAGTCGTAGTAGTAGTCGTAGTCGTCGTAGTAATAGATGTAGTAGTCGGAGTAGTAGTAGTAGTAGTAGTAGTAGTAGTAGTAGTAGTATTAGTAGTAGTCGTTCGTAGTTAGTAGTAGTAGTAGTAGTAGTAGTAGTAGTAGAGTACGCAGCAGTCGTAGTAGTCGTAGGTAGTAGTTAGTAGTAGTAGTAGTAGTAGTAGTAGTAGTAGTAGTAGTAGTAGTAGCCGTAGTAGTAGTAGTAGTAGGCGTAGTATGATCAGTAAGAGTAGTAGTAGTAGTAGTAGTAGTAGTAGTAGTAGTAGTAGTAGTAGTAGTAGTAGTAGTAGTAGTAGTAGTAGTAGTAGTAGTAGTAGTAGTAGTAGTAGTAGTAGTAGTAGTAGTAGTAGTAGTAGTAGTAGTAGTAGTAGTAGTAGTAGTAGTAGTAGTAGTAGTAGTAGTACTAGTAGTAGTAGTAGTAGTAGTAGTAGTAGTAGTAGTAGTAGTAGTAGCAGCAGTCGTAGTAGTAGTCGTCGTAGTAGTATTCTAATTAGTAGTAGTAGTAGTCGTCGTAGTCGTAGTCGTAGTCGTAGTCGTTGTCGTAGTCGTAGTCGTAGTCGTAGTCGTCGTAGAATTGGTAGTAGTAGTAGTAGTAGTAGTAGTAGTAGTAGTAGTAGTAGTAGTAGTAGTAGTAGTAGTAGTAGTAGTAGTAGTAGTTGTAGTAGCAGTAGTAGTAGTAGTAGTAGTAGTAGTCGTAGTAGTAGTAGTAGTAGTAGTAGTAGTAGTCGTAGTAGTAGTAGTCGTCATAGTAGTAGTTGTAGTAGCAGTAGTAGTAGTAGTAGTAGTAGTAGCAGCAGCAGCAGCAGTAGTAGTAGTAGTAGTAGTAGTAGTAGTAGTAGTAGTAGTAGTTCTGATATTGATAGTTGTTGTCGTTGTCGTCGTCTTCGTACCAGCAATTGTGTAATTGGGTGATAGGGAGGAGGCGCTCTCGCAGCCCGTGCCCAAGCATCCCCTTGCTCTGGCCGCGGACAGTGCCGACACCCAGGCGGCGATAGCTGGCACATGGCTGCGGCCATTCTCGCGCGCCGGGCGGCCGGCTTCGCGGTGGGGGCATGCGCGCTGGATCAGGCTGGCCGGAGGGCGTCTGACTGCCTGGACAACCTGCGCGCCGCCGCGTGCACCCGGGGCGGCCTGGGACCCGATGCCCTGGCGGCGCTGGCAGCGCAGCGGCCAGCGGGGGATGTCAGCTTTTCGCCCCTGATGGATCCTGGCCAATGCTGGGCCCAGGAGCGGTGTACTTGCTCGGTTCTGAGCTGGCCAAGCCAGGAGGGCGTGTACACTGACCCTGGGCCCAGGGTGGGCCTGACTGGAGCTGATTGAGGGTGAAGGCGTGTAAGCGGCGTCCCCCCGCAGGCCCCTGGGCGTGTGGCCCGAAGGGCGGGCGCTCCAGCAGCTGGCGGCGCTGGTCGCCCTGGAGCAGGCCTGGCGGGCGCAGGGCTGCCAAGGCGGCGAGGACGGGCTCCGAGATGCGGTGCGCCTCGGCCTCGGCTACTCCCTGCGCTGCGGCAGCTCCGGGGTGCCCGGCGCCGGCGACGGCGTGTTCGCCTGCGGGGACGTGCCGGCAGCCGGCAGGGTGCTGACCGTGTACGCCGGCACGCTGTGGAGCGCGTGGGACGCGTTTGTGGGGCGGGGTGTGCGCCGCTGGCTGCTGGGGCCGAGCGCGGATGACTACCTGCTCTGCCAGGCCGACGGGTCGGCGGTGGACGGCTCGACGCACACCGCGGCAGCGCTCCGGGGTGCGCAGGGCTTCGTCTCGCCCTCTGCTTGCGGGCAGCTGATGAACCACCCGCCAGAAGGGAGGGTGCCCAACGCCTGCTTCGTGAGCCTCGACTCCCCCGCGCGAAGTGGGAGCCCTCCGGGCCGGCCCCTCGTAGGAAGGCGTGCCTTCCGCCTCTGTCGGTCACCGCGGCCCCGCCAGGGCCGCCGAGCGAGCAGCAAACGGAGGCGGCGCCGCGTTGGCGACCCTGTTGGCCTCGTATGGAGGATCGGCGGCCCCATACCCAGCTCTGCGGTGGGCGCTTTCGGGCCTCTGCGTTCCTTCTGGGCCTCACGCTGGTCGCCAGCGTCTCCAGGCGTGTACCAGATCCATCCGCGTGGCTCCTGTGAAACAGTTGCGTCTGTGCTGATGCCCGCGCCATGGATACCCTCTGCTCTACCACAGGATGGCAAATTCTTCATTAAGGGGGTGGGAGGAAGATTCCAGGAGCCCCGAAACTTAAGTCGTAGAACTCATGCCGAGGGGCCCCAGGAGCCACGCACGCTCCCAGAGCCCCTGAAGCACTTGTACGAGGAGGGAGAGAGGAGAAGGAATGACGCCCCGAATCGTGTGGCGTTCTCGAGCCCCTGCCCCACATCGTATGGCAAAATACGGGCAGTTGGGGGGGGGGGAATCGAAAATCAAGGAAATATAGGAAAAATATTCGGCATCCTGGGATTTGTGTGTGTGTATTTATTTGTGTGTCCCTGGGTTCTTTCAACTTTCCAGGCCCCGGGGCCCCGCCTGGACAGCTCGGCCGAAGTTCCGCCGGCATCCTCGAGGCAGCCACACGAAGTGTACACCAGGACGCAGCAGTCTGACGAAAGCCAGCAGGCGCGGAGCAGCAGCCCACAGCAGCAGGTGCTGATCGCCCTCGGCCTCCCCCCCTCGCTATCCACGTCGGGGCTCCTTCCTCGTGCTGCTCCTCCTCCTCCTCCTCCTCCTCCTCCTCCTCCTCCTCCTCCTCTTCCCTCCCATTCCTCCACCTCTCTCCTCCTCCACGCCTTCCCCCTCCTCCTCCTCCTCCTCCTCCTCCTCCGTAGCCATTTTGGCTCAATATGTCTGCTTTGCGCAAGCAGGAAATGGATACCGCTAGTCCGCGGCCAGCGCAATCGACTTTCCAGCCACACTCACGGCTGTGCTGGCACCCCTTCATATTTCTCGCTTTCATATTCATTCAGCTCCTGACGATCGAGGCCCTCTCGTCGCGGAGCACAGACCTCCTCGAATGGCACACCATCGCGGACCCGAACGACACGCTCTCATTGAAGGCCTCTCTGACTCGGCTCCATCGGCAGGCGATCGCACTGCCTCGCGCAGTGCTGGCGAACGTCCTCCGCGTCGGCGCCCCAAGCACTACGACAAGCCTTGTGGACACGCGGGTGGCCGACTCCGAGACAAAGACTCCGACCGTCCTCAGCACGAAGGAGAACGTGCTGCAGCCGCTCGGTCTGGCAGAGCTGGAGGTGGTTCAGCTCATGTACCAGGTGGTGCCACGAGACCCTTTCCTGCTGCTGTACCAGGTGCCGCTCGCTCCGATCATCTCCAGCAAGCTAAACCCCCGGCAACTCCAGCGTGAAGCTCTCGCATCCGCCTTGGGGGAGGGAGAACCGCCCACTTTCTCTGCATTCAGCAAGCCGAAATTGATTGTGCACGGGCACTTACCATGGCAAGACAGGGCCAAGGAAACGGTCCAGTTGCCACCGTGGCCCCTGGAGCGGCGCCTCCACCTGCCCCACTTGCAGGCTCCGTCGAGGCGCTCACGGCCTCCCTGTACGACTAGCTCACTCAGCACGTGGATTCGGCCATGGACACCTTCAAGAAGGCCACTGCGCGGACGGTCGCCTCCACCATTCACGAGTACCAGCAGGAAACGGACCAGCGCCTGGGCGCCACCGAGGGGGAGCCTGCGGACCTCAAGCGCAGGATCGCCGCTTCTGAAGGGGAACAATAGCGCCATCGACAAGCCATCGACAGCATCGATCGGACACTCGCCATCGCGGAGGCCGCCATCCCTGTTGTCGATTTGGCCGCAGAAGCTGTGTTTGACCGGCAACCCGACCCTGCTGCGTTCTCCATTGGATGTCAAGAACTCGTCTCGCCTCAACAACTTCGGGATGACCTTCAGAGCTGGTTTCAGGAGTCTGGCGTTGACTGGTCATATGCCTCTCATTGGCGATGTGCCTGCCAAGCGTTTCACCCGACGGCCTCTCGGCGACAAGAATGTGGTCGTCCCCGGAGCTACGGCGCTTTCGCGTGGTCTCAAACTGCGTGGTGGAGAATGGAAACCTTTCTCAAGTACCTCAGTGCTGGGGCAACGAGTCCCCCTCTATGTCAATACTTATCGCAGTGCCCGATAAATTCGACGAGAAATTCACACCCGACGGCTTCAGAAGATTCTTGAATCTCACTATGCCTACTTTTCGTTCAGGCCCTACAAGCAGCGTGGACGAGTCGCTCTTGACAGTGTTCCATTGTTTCGCTGGGAAATTGGCACTACCGCAGCTATGCCCACCAAGGTTGAATGGAATTGCGAACTCGCAGCTCAACGGGCATCAATTGTCCCGCCGTGGAAAAGCGCTTCAACGACTTCTTCGACGAGGGCGAGGCCATGTCGCGGGGGTAACATTCAGCGGACTGTTCACTCCAAACAGGGTCTCAAGATCATGTCGTGGAACGCCCGCAACTTGCTCACCATTGACCGCCGGCGTCGCCAAGCTAAACTGCAACTACTTCTTCCCTATCTGCGACAGGGATATAGCATTGCTGTACAAGAGGTGCATGGTAGTGCAGCTCGTCTTCAGCGTCTCCTGCAGGATACCCCCTACTCCTACGAGTCGTTCTACTCCAACAGCGGCTTGTCGAGGACGGGGGGCATCGCGTTTTTCTTCCCCAAGCTGTCTGACATCGATGTCGCGGACCTGGGCGGCCAGTCGCCTCATGTTCCTGGCGCCCCGACACCGTCGACTGCCCCCGCAGCTTCACAATCTTCATCTTCGTCTACCAGTTCAAGGTCTTCCTCTTCGGCCACTTCCTCGGCTTCGTTATCTGATCATCTTCCAGGTGAGCTCTCTCGGCTGGGTCACCTGGGTTCACGCGCCCCCCATGGCCAAGGGGCGGTGCCCGCGCTGTTTGGGGGGGCGGCTAACCATGACGAGGGGGCGGAGTTCCCAGATGTTGGCCAGCCAGGTTTCGGAAGTTCGCCAGAGATCCCACATCACGTCTCCGCAATCCCTAGGCGCACGACGCTTCTCCACCGCGCACTTGTTCCAGGACGTGCTCAAGTCCTCGGGGTTCACCAGGGCAGCGTCTGCACTGCTGCCGCCATGCACGTCCATAACTTTGAGCTCGCGCAGGACCAGCGGCGAGCCATCCAGATTGACTTGCACAAGTACCAACGGTGGGCACAGGTCGCTCCGCTATCGCGGATGTCCGTTGCCCTCGGCGGCGTCAACATCCACGACGAGCCCGCCGCTTCCTTTCTGGGCCCGTAGGCCATGATCCTCGCCAGCATTGGGGGTGACCAGTACCATCGGCCCTTCTGGAAGAATCTCTTCGCGTCGATGACCGAGATCTCGAGTGGCGAACCCGCGCGCTTCGACGCTCATCCGATGAAGGAGACCAGGACCGATCGCGTCTTCGTCAGTCTTCCTGCCCATGCGTACCCGAATATGTCGCTGACGCTGAAGGTTGATAAGGGTCTTGCCGTGCTCGGTGACCGTCGCCTCAGCGATCGCGCGCTGCTGGACCTCGCGATTGCAGTTGCTGTTCACAGGGCGAACGACATCCACCAGATCCGCCTTCATCTTCCAGCCCCCCCGCTACAAGCATAATGTGTCGCTTCCCCTTAGCGCCCGCAGCTGCAAGTCGCGACGGCGGAGCGACGTTGGCTTGGTTCCAAGGACATCGTGAATGAAGCGGCTCGCCTCGCGCGCAATGAACTCACCGCGCTCCCTGGCACGGTGCGCTATCTATCTGCTGCGGAGGAACCTTTGCCCACGTATCGTTCCATTTCGCGGGCTATATGGAGACGAGATCTTTCCCTGGCCCACGCCCTCACGAACGCCGCGGAGATCGGCAAGGACCCACTTTTCATCGCTGAAGGACGGGTTGGCCTACTGGATGAACCTAAGTTTGCGGAAGCTTCGCGACGCGCTCATCTGCAGCGCCTCCGTCTTCGCAATGAGCAAGCGGTCGCTGCGGCACAGCGCGCTCAGCAACTTGATCGCACGTTGGAAACGGATTATCGACACAAACAAGCTCACATACTACAGAAGCGTAGCAGGGCCTGGGCTCTTTTGCGCGGGCGCTGTCCCTGACGGGGATTCGTCTGGCGAGCGAGGAGGTATAGCGACGGACCCCGCAGCGCAAGAGGAAACCTTGCAGGATCACTGGCTGCCCATCTTCTCGCGCAAGCAAGTTGATGACTAGGCCCTCAAGGGCTACCTCAGCCAATTTGCTCCGCCGAACATCACCGCGCCGAAGCTCATCAGTCCTTCCGCTGCTGTCATGCGCCGCGTTGCCCTTCGTGCTCGCGCGTCAGCGCCTGGCCCTGGCCCTGATTGTCTCCCATGCCGAGCCCGGGCAGAGACTGATGGGGCTGTGGAAGCTCTGGAAGATGTCGCATGGAGCTTCTTCGAGACCGGCGTTGCCCCACCCGCGTTCAACGATTCGATCTTCTCGTTCATCCCGAAGGGCGAGGAGGGGGCCGACCGCTTTTGCTGCGCGCGTGAAGCAGGACATCTGTGCCCGATCTCTCGGAAGAGCACCGGCCCCAAGCTCTTCGCGGGAGCGCTCAACCTACAGCTCAGGACTCGCGTGGAAGAACATGCTCATCATGATCAACAAGGCTTCATTCGGGGTCGCAGTTTTTGCAACAACATCTTGATGATGGACGCCAAAGGGCGCATGGCAGGTTGGTTGGAATGCTGACGCTTCACTTGATCAGCCTCTCCTGCTTCTCCTTGATATTGCTGCTGTCTTCCCCTCTCTGGGGAGGCAATGGCTCTTCCATGTCCTCAACACATTCCAGTTCGAGATGGGCTTTGTCAGTGCGGTCGCTGCCCTGTGCGACCAGGCTTTGGGCCTCGCCATTCTCGATGGCCAGTGCTACTTTTGTCTGGCCCTTGGCAACTGCAGTAGCCCGAGGCTGCCACTTGTCTAGCATCACCTGGGCCATCGCGATGGATGTCATCATCAGAGCTGTCAATGTTGTGATGCCCGCCCCCAAGGACGGCAAGACGGGCGCCTGTGCCGATGATCTCGGTCTTTGCCTTCAACGCGCGGCTCTCATGGTTCCGCTGGCAGGAGTTTTTCGCCAAGCTGCGGTTCTCGACAATCTACATCTCAATGTCAAGAAATGCGCCATCATACCCCTGTTGGCGAAGCTGACCAACGCGATCCGCGACGGCATCGCCGCTTTCCTCCAGGGCCGCCTTCCCGACTGGGCCCCCTATCAAGATTGCGGCTGAAGGTCTGTATCTTGGCGTGCATGTGGGCCCTGATGCGGACAGCGATCTACAATGGGCTGCTGCTGGATCTAAGTGGTGGCAGAGAGCGGTCGCCATTGGCAGTGCGACAGCACCCACGGACGCCAATGCGAGGCTCTATCAGACGTTGGCGACCACCGTCCTCGGCTACCTGGCGCAGTTCTTTGATCTTCTTCCCGGGCTCAAGCGAAAGGAGGCCCATGCAGTTCACGAAGTTCTACGTGTGCCTCCCAGCGCCTTTCGCTTCATATCTGTCCACTCGTTTAACAACTGGATGCCTGGCATTGCGCCGCGCCCCCTGCTCACGCACTCGCTTGGCACTCAATGGCGGGCCGCTCGCTTTACCCTCAACCTGGTGCAGCCCCCTGTTCCAGGAGTTCTTCGAGATGGCTCAGTCCGCATGTGGACTCCCTGCGTTGGCGACGAACAACTGGTCGCCTGTCTTCTGGAAGGAACCGCAGGCGATTGTCCAGCGCCTCAGCGAGATGATGCAGGGCCGTTCCGCCCAAGTTCCAGCTCATCGCCACCATGATCTTCTTCGCGCTGGTGTCATTGCTCACCGCGCGGCGCGGGGCGCCGTCGAAACTGGCGCCGCACCCAAGCCGTAGCGCGCATTCATCGCGGCCCTGGCCTCCCACTGGATGAAGGACGATTTCGAGATCGCCATCGCCGAGCGGCTCAGCCTGGCATGGGACTGCTATCGTTCCGCGCGACCTGGAGCTGCGCTGGGCCACCCTCAGACGCCCGCTGGTGACGGTAGCTCTCTCATGGCGGTGGATCACTCTGCGGACTCTCGCGGGTGGCTGGCACACGAGCTCTCGCATGCACGTCGCACCCGATGTGGACCAGTGCCGTTTTGGATGCTTCCAGCAGCCAGACGCGATCGCCCACTACCTGGTCTGCGATCGTCTCCAACATCGGGTATGCCTGCCTCGTACCTTCTCGCAGGCCACCGTGCTGGAGCGTCTGGGCCTGGGACTTCACAATGCCGAGAACGGGGGGCATTCGCTGTCGATGACTATCCAGCGCCTCGTCCTCTCGTATTACACGTACCTCGAGGTCAAGACCCAGGGCGTGAACGACTACTCCTACAAGAACCACTTGGACGCGCGTCTGGCCGCCCTCGACCGCCTCAACTTCGCGAAGTAGCTGCGCTGAGGTCCAGGCTCCCCGCCGACGCGGCCCGCCGCCGCGTCGTCATAGGGGCCCGCCCTCAGGCTACTGCCGCTCCTCCTCCTCCTCCTCTTCCTCCTCCTCCTCCTCTTCATTCTCCTCCTCCGCCCCATCCCTCCTA